AAGCATTCATCATCAGTGACTATTCTGAATCAAGAAGTCATCATGCGTACTTACGGCGCTTCACGTGCGGCTGGGCTGCATTGCGTTTCCGTTTGTCAATTAGCGATCCAGACGAACGCAGGCAGACAGCAGCTGTCAGCTGGCACACCCTGTCACCCCTCATACTAACCTCATTGCTCAATGATACTACTTACTACTGCTTAATGATAACCGCTGGATATGGATAGGATATGCTCATTCGACTATGGTCATAAAATACACATATAGACATACACACACATACACGCACACAGGAACACATTCATTGACTTAGACCAATCCATCGAGCTGTATGATATGCGTATATCACGAAAGGAATCGATCGAATTAAATGGCGTTTCAAGTAAGCTTAAACCCAAGCAAGCAGCAGCAGCAGCAAATGTGCGGCGTCGTCGTTCTTGTCACTAATCGGAACTTATAGTCTAATTGCTCGTCTGTAAGCGTTCGCGCATTTCACTCAACATCAGCACTGAGATTTCATCGATTATCATCGTAACCATGTCAGTAGTCACTTGCAACTAGCAGCGATCCTTTCCTAATCCTTATCATCTTCACGTCGACTGTTTTCTACACAAACACTCGCAGATAGACTCTCATTGACCACATCTAGAATCTTTTGATCAAAGTTCATCGATAACACTGTGAAGAAAGTGTTGTCAAACGAATTGACCGTACTGTATAGACCGTACCAAATCGGTGGCTGTACCGTTTCCTCTCTTGGCTCTTTGAAATCTTCAGAGTGCATCGAAACGTATTGAATTTGCATCATCATCACCATCATATAATCCAGGATGATCCCCATTGGAGAGGTGAAAACTTTTCAATATATTGTCATCGTGTTTGATCAATGGTGTTGAGTTGTTTGGTGTATTGCATGTCTTTTCATAAGTTTCATTAGGTAATAGATTTGAATCAAATAATGCAGTGGATTCAAAAAGATACAGCATTCTGCCTTCTTCATTTGCATGAAAGATTGTGGAATCTGAACAAAATTTAAAATTGCAAATCATAAACTTGATTGAGTGCGTTTGCTCAATTAGAACCAAAACTGATAAACTGATTTGTTCCGCTGAACTGAATCAAAACTGAGCTGGATCAAGTTGATGTTAAACAAGTTTTTTGCATTCATTGCACATATAAAAGATAAGTTCTGCCGTTTGAGATTTTAAAAGAAAAACGAGAAATAAACAATCTGATCTTANTGAAAATTTTGTTTGGTTTTCTCTTCTTTCATTTCGTATCAGATAAAATTTGATGTGTTCGTAAAGTTTAACTGTAATGGAATTCGACTGCTATATGACTGAATTCGTTATTTTCTATGGATAAATATCGAGAGTGCATGTGAACATTTGCTTTTGCATATATTTGTTTGTTGACGAATAATACTGCCTATCAATTTCTTCAGTGACTGACGTTTATCATTTTGAGCAGATGCAGGTTATTGATGACTAAAGACGATTGTCTGATCGTTTCATGCAATCGTTATTAACCATATATATTATGACCCCGGTATTTGATTGCATCGTTTGAGGGAAATGTGATTAATGATTAGCCACATCGTATGCAATCTCACATGATTGTTGATGAACCCTGAGAAATTCTTCTAAAAACACTTCTGAACAATATTCCTTTATTGCGTTAATTTTCGACGAGTGGGTCAACCAGATAATTCCTCTCATATTGAGAGATCTGAGTGAAGATCAACTTAATCACATCATTGGAACGTCCAAAAAAATGATCGCCAAGAAGATTTTGGTAAAAATTCTGAATCCATTTAAGACGCAAGACGGACGTGCTGATATGACAAACTTCGAGATGGATCTCTTCGACACACGAATGAACACGTATCCTATCGAGAAAGTTGGTGATTTGTTCAATTTTGAATGCAATTTTTCAGCTTTTACGCGAGAATTTTATCATTCCAAACGGTTTCTGCATTGTAAAGACTTAGTTGGTGATGCATTAG